TTTTTCTCAAAGCTGAAAGGCAGGAATTGAAGCAGACTACGGGAAAAAGGGGCTATGAAGAAGGTTTAAGCCAATTTTTTTAGTGTAAATTGTTTCAAAGGTTAAAGAATGATGGTAATGATAAAAAAAATCTGGCTTATCGACTTTTACATTAAACAAATAAGAAAAAAACAGTTTTTCTTACCATTGTTTTCCTCTTCTTCTTCTTCTTCTTCTCCGTCTTTGTCCTCGTTTACTTCTCGTTTTGTTAAGTGTTTGTTGGCTGATAGAAAGTGCTGTGAAAAAAAAAAAACAAAAAACAAAAAAAAAGAGAAGAGGAGAGAAGATCGTCGATAATCTTTACTGCAAATCAATTCTATTTGGATGATTTGTGAGAGAGATATACGACGAAGGATTTGTTGGAAAATGGCAAAAATTAGTTGAGGTGAAGGAGGAAGAGATATAGAAAAAGAAAAAATTTTTCTAATTTTTCTTTTTTCATTTTATTCATCATTAAAAAAAGTTGTTTTTCGCACATTTCGGTTTTTTCCGAAATTTTTCGAGAGTTTTAAGTACGTTGAATTTTGGCCATGATGACAAAAGAAAAGGATAAAGTTGTTGTTCAGCGGAGAAGATTAAATGTTCAGAGATAATGTCGACCAATTTTCATACTGTCTGCCAGAAACCATCGCCTTTTTTCCTACTTTTTTTTTAATCTACAAGCTGAAATTGACAAAAACGGACGATCACTTCAGAAGAAAAAAAAACAAAGTAGAAGAAAAAGTTTAAGTTAAAACTTTTTTGGTTTTACAGGTTGATGGCGTCAAATTAATGGTAGATCAAATGAAAACTTTTTTTACGTTGCCTTCCTCCACCATCGATTTTCAATTAACAGTACTTAACTTTCAATGATTAAACGTTTAAATCTCGTAATAATCAGCCAGATGTTATTTGATCTTTCTTTTTATTTTTCTTTCTTCTTTTTTACTTTATCTAGCCTACACTGAATGACAGCTATGTTTTGGAAGAACAACTAGATGATAAAAAATTGGGGTCACGATTAAGCGGTTAGCTGCAGGTACGTTGGAATTGCTTCAGAATTTCCTACTGATCGATTCGGTATGAACTACATCAAAACTGCAGCAAACACAAAACTTATCATTAAACTTTACTAAATTTTTATTTCTTTTTCTTTTTTCTTGCTGGAGATTTGGTATTTGTTGAGATTAGCGAGTGAAGTGAACAGAAAAAAGCAGCGACTGTAATTTCTGGTTTTATAGGATTTTTATAACATAAAAAATTACCTGCTCTTTTCTGCATTTTTATTTATTTTTCACAATAATTTTTTTTTATTATTTTCTATTTTGTTTTTCTCCCTTCCTTCTTATCGTCGTCTGCTTCATCTACCCATTTTTTTCTCCAGTTTTTATCCTACAATAGTCATTGGCACTAATCCATACTGTTGAAGCATCATACTGATATGAGGTGCTAAAAATATGCATTATTTTTTGTTACAGTAGAAAAAAAAGACGAAAAAAAAAGAAAAG